TTTAATTCTGCCGATTTTAGACTGAAATTTTTCTTATGAATATTCTTAGATTATAGCGTATTACATTTCCCTTTTCTTGACTTTGATGGCGTTGAAGTAATTTTGGAGCAAGACTGTAGGCAATTAAGTCTGATAAGGCATACATAGCTTCTTGCAGGAATGACTTTTAGCATGGAACATACGACTAGTGTTGTTTTTGTTGTTTTCTTGGCTAGTTTTGYCGTTTAGCGAAACTTAGTAAGAATTTTATATGGTTAAGTTAAAAACATATAATTGTATCGTATTTACAAATTTTCCATGCAGAAAATTATATTCTTTTCAAAATCTCAGCCTCGGGTTTATTGATAAAATATTCTTAAAATTTCGCAAATTTCAGCCACGATATTCTTAAGAAATATATTCTTATAGAAAAAAAGAGTGTACGATGATTTATAAGGATCGGGCAAATCAAAAGTGGGTACAGCGTGAAGAGAAACCAGTGATTTTCTGGCTCCAATTAGACAGCGGCTAGAAACTTTGTAATAAGTCCTCGCACAAAAAGAAAAGGTTAAAATAGGGCAAAGGGTTAGTGAAGCTAACGTTTCAGGAGTTCTGCATTTGCTCAGCATTTGGTTACGCAAAAATTGCTTGTAAGACTAAGTTGATTATAAACCTAGGTTCTCTGATTGAGGCACAGGGTGTAAAGAAAAAATTCAGAATACTACGCGTCAAAAATAATACCTTTGTTTGCTTTAAAATCCTCTCATAATTTCTTAAAGCAACCTGAACTGAATGAAAAAGCAGTTCAGTAGCCGAGGATAGAATTAGTCTTTACGTAAAACTTTACTCTGAAAATGAAAATAGCCTGTGACAGGGAATCCATATCCTCTATAACAACTGATGCACGAAACTCATGTTGTTGGTGGTGTAGCCAATCAGAAAATGGCATTCGTGATAGAATGCTAGTAGATTAATACTAATACGTGATTGTCGTCGAGGTCGCAGCCCGCATAGAAATCGAGAGCGAATAATCTAATTGTTTTAGTAGAAATCTATTAGTCGTTCAAAACTTTATCTAAGTCCTCTTCACAGACACTTCGAAAACACAAAGAATCGACCGTCATTTTGATAACAACCACGCACTG